CCTACTACTGCTACTCGCACCCAAACAACCAACCCCTTGGCCTCACAATTTTTTTTTTGTTTAAAGCAAAAAAGTTAAGAAGGACTTAACTAAAAAATTAAAATACATAAATCCCTACAAAATCAACCCACCAAACACCACTGATCAACCCAAAAATCACCTAACACTTATGCTGCTACAACTCCCCAAGCACACACCACGCCTCTGCTGCAGCCCACACCTACGCTGCAAAGTCGTCATACAACTTATTTTGTGTTAGTTTTTTTTTTATGTTGTTTGATTTTTTTTTTTTTTTGATCAGCAAAGAAAAATTTCATTAACAACATGAAATTAAAGGTACAGGAAGATAACATGCATTGAGAGAGATTCGGAAAGTATAAAAATATCCCTACTACTGCTACTCGCACCCAAACAACCAACCCCTTGGCCTCACGATTTTTTTTTGTTTAAAGCAAAAAAGTTAAGAAGGACTTAACTAAAAAATTAAAATACATAAATCCCTACAAAATCAACCCACCAAACACCACTGATCAACCCAAAAATCACCTAACACTTATGCTGCTACAACTCCCCAAGCACACACCACGCCTCTGCTGCAGCCCACACCTACGCTGCTACACCTCACCTCAGCCCACACCAACCACGCCTATGCGTCAGCTACAACTCCCCAGGTCCTCACCTATGCTGCTATTTCGAGGCCCTCACCTATCCCCTGCTAATCTACCCACATACACGCCTATGCTACTGCCACACCCAATCCCACACCTATGCTGTTATTCCGACCAAGAACAATACCAAAGCCAACACCGGAAAACACCAACCCTGCCGTTGCAACTCCCCTGCTAAACTTGACAGCGCAGTTGCAACATTTACTGCAATGCCAAACTCCTCTCCAGTGGTGGTGATAGTATTTCCAGAACTCCTCACTGACCAAAAGCGTTTCCTTGGCTGAGGCTAAAAGGATAACTTTGAAACCAGCAGTTCTTCACACTCACCCCGCGAAACCACACACCCACCGAACACCGACCACCCTCTGGGACAACTCCAATACAATGGAAGAAGTTCACCCCTCAAACTCTCACTTGAAGAGGAGCGCTCGAGTGAAAACCAAACAGAACTGGATCGCCAACGACACCCATGTTTCCGCCCAAATAGAGCATCAAAACTACTCCACCAATCGGAACCGGAGTTCACCCCTCAAGCTCCTACTTGCAAGAGAGCGCTCGAATGAAAATCCTGAACGATCCCTCATGTAATAAATTGTTGTATAAATACAACAATTTATTACATGATAGCCAACTAAAAATATCAACAAAAATATCCATACATTACATGATCATTATCCAAACACATACTAAAAATTAATTTGACAAAAAAAATAAAAATGTAAAAAAATTATTATTTTTATATAATTTTATCTTTGGTGAGTAGAAATAATTTTTTGATATTTATTTTTATCAAACTAGTTTATATTTTATCAAATTGATGACTTTGTTTTTGAAATGGAGAAACAATATCTTTTTTTTTTTTTTAATCGGCAAAAAAGAAGAAGCTTTATTGATGAGAAAACATACAGAGTATGATAATGTACATCAATAAAAATAATAGTGCAAAAAGCATCATAGTGAAGTATTCAGATCCCAACTAGGTTGGCACCTAAAAACACACCAAATCATCTGCTAGCACAAACTCCGAGCTCGAAGTTGGTGAGTAACCAACATGCAGAGCAAAACAAAAAAACAAAACAAACAAAACAGATCACACACTTAGGGACAGAGCAGAACAAATCAGATGTGGCCTTGGTAGTAGAACATCAAGACAGAAGCAGCAGAAGCAGATCAACAATACACAGATTCTAACAGATTCTACCCATACAGGCAGCCTAGCAGGAAGCTCAACTGGCAGCCCAACCCTGAAACTTGATCAGCAATACCCATCAAGACAGAAGCAACAATATCTTTAATTGTCCTTATTTGGAACAAAATTCAAAATTTAGAGTTAAATATATCACATTTGAAATATCAGGGATAAAAGTGACATAAGCTCCAAACTACAGGGATCGTTAGTGTAATTCATTTCTTTTTTTTTAGTGAATTTTTTAAAGAAAATTTAAAAAACTTTACACTTAAGTTTTACTTGAATAGACGAATAAGAAAAGTATACAAAAAAATTAAAATCTTTTATTATCTTGGGTGAATTTTTTTTTCGGTTTTATTTATTTATTTATTTATTTATTAGGTCCTTCAACAGTAGACAGAGAAAAAGTTAAAAATACTAATACAAATTTGAAAAATAAAAAATCACTAAAAGTTAAAAAAAATATATAACTGTTTTAGTTAGATCCCAAATCAAAAGTCATCCCCTATCCATTTCTATTTGTGAAGAAATTGATGTGGAAATGTGATGCAATGTGCCAAGTGAAGTGAGAGTATCAATGTTGAAAGGGCACCAAAGTTGCATAACTTTTTCGTAAATAATATTTTGATCCTTTTGGCCCATTACTTATCACCCCAATTAGGATTATGTATCATTCATTTCCTTTTTCTTTTTCTTTTTAAATTTTTTTGTACTTACCATAAATTTGGCTTAGACAACAGTTATATAGTTCCATGGTTGGGGGATTTAATTTGTATACGTTATATTAATAAATTGAACAACTTTGAATGGGTTTTTATGCATAAGTTTAACAAAATTGCTATCATTCCCCTATACCAACATTCTCTTTCAAGCTTTTCAACTAATCGATACCGATTTTGAGAGTAATTTTGGCTAAAACTCGAGCAATTTCTCAAAATTCACTACACAAAAAAATAAAAAATTAAAAAAAAAAATATTTCTTCAGTCAAGATTATGTTTTGTTGAAAATGATACTTGTAATTAAAAGATTGTGAGAGACCTAAATCAGGTTGTCTTTGCGAAGAACTTTGTTGGAATCTTCACAAACTTAAGTTGATATATATATTTTTTAAATCTTTTGTCTTTCAGTGAATTGATTAAACAATTTGGAGATTCACTGCACACTTTTAAAAAAAAAACAAATTTATCTTGTTGTACCAATTGTTTTTTTCCCTTGGGACATGCTCTCACTTGTTATCATTGGTGCCACATGATGCGTTGCATTGAGCAACACATTTAATCAATAATCTAATCATTTTTATTTTCATTTTGTTCAGTGACATTGGGTTGCACACAATAAAATTAATCTTATATTATTTACAAGTGGTTCAACTTTTTAACAAATTGAATGTAACTCGTCAAGTGGTTGTACTGTACTTCTAAATTTTTAGAGAGATATTTGGGATTTGAGCTTATGAAAAAGCATCGAACACACAGTTGTAAAAGACAAAATTAGTTATGAATGCATCCTATATTTCATTTGTAAAAAAAAGGTCTTGTAATCTAATTACTACAATAATACTATTAAGTTTAGGTGTTACATGTGGCAATAACACAATTAAATCTAATATTACCATTTATGTGTATCCTGTAAAGTCTACACCAATTAATTGTGTTAAATTTATTGTGGTATTGTCACATGTAACATTGAACATTATTCTTAAGTTAAAAACACCGATTGTTAAATTCAAAAAAAGCAAATTGAGATTGTGGGTTAGATGTTACCTATCATGAGAAAGATTCTAACGAACATTATTTTTCATCTATTACATGGCTTCTCTTATAGCATGCTAAGTTTTGTTATTTTTTAAATATAGTGTATCTTATATACATATAACAATTGTTGTATGAATACATATAAAATATGAAATGAAAAGAAATACATCCAATAACAAATGTCATTTTTCTTCGTGAACACAAGGTGATTTTTTTGGATGCAAACAAGGTTTCTCACCATGTATATCTGAGGAGTAATTATTCAACATTGTTGGTAACATGACAATGTCACTTTAAATCCCACAAAATTTAAATATCAAGATGTATTTGTTGACGCACAATAGTTTTGGTATCCAAGGCTACAATGTAGGTATCAAAAGAAGTTCCATAAACTTCAATCAGTTCTAGATAAGAATATAATGTCCCTCCTAGTAAACAGAGAAAAAGTTAAATAAAAGGCTTACAATAATGTCCACATATTGTTGTTCTAGAGATCTGCAATTCATAAATAAATAAATGAAAATGCAAACTAATTTAAGCTTTTTTAGTGCCTAGAGATTTGATCACCCCTGTTTCCTTCCCAAATTTTTAATGAAATAAGGCAGTCTTAGAGCCATATATTCTTCTCTCTTTTTTTTAAAAAAAAAAAAAAAAAATTAAGCCAAACTACCTAAGAATCTCAAAGTCCTAACTTGGTTTGTTGGCTTGGTTCCACATTGACTAGTGTCATTAGCTCACTCCAAAGTTATATATATATATATATATATGAGGTTATTACACTTTATATTTTTGTACTTCTATTAAAATTTTATTTTGATTCATTCATTTTTAATTATGATAATCAACGTCTTACATTTTAAGTTAAATTAAAATATCATTTTTTTATTCATTTGCTATTAATATGATAATTGATCCGTAAATTACTAGTGACATTTTTCTAAGATGACATGAATATATGTTTCTTAAAATTAGAAATTAATACCAGTTCTCCTAAAAACATTGAAACTAAACACAAAAAAACACATGAATTGATAAGATTTCATAAGATTTATTAGTAGAGTCCACTTAATTTTATTTATATATATTTATGTAGATTATATCTCAAATTCTGTATTCAATTTATGTATTTCTAAACTTATTTGGGTCTTGTTTGGCAATAAACTAATATAATTAAAAAGTGAAAAAATCATACAAAAAAAATTAAAATATTTATTTCTATTATCTCTACATATTTATGCATTTTTCATAAAATAAAAAATAAAAAATAAAAAAATCACATTCCAAACATACCCAACATACAAAAGAGGGAGAGAGAGAAACTTTATTTTAGTGACATGGTCATATGTACTTGTTTCTCAAAGGTAGTAAATTATAATGAGAGAGAGAGAGAGAGAGAGAGAGAGAGAGAGATGGGAAGTGGTAAAAATATATAGGAGCTAACTAGCACATCAAGTGGGAGTCTGAGTCATTAGAAGGTAGGTAAATAATGGCATTCATGGTGGAGAGGAGGAGGAGGAGGAGAAGTGAAGAGATGGTTTTTTCTGCAATGGAATCTGATGAATATTCTGAATCACAAAAGGGATGTGAAGCAGTGGCAGTGGCAGCTGCACCATTTCTGACAAAAACATACGAACTAGTAGATGATCCTCTCACTGATCACATAGTGTGTTGGGGTGAGAATGACAACACTTTTGTTGTCTGGAGACCCCCTGAATTCTCCAGAGACCTCCTTCCCAACTACTTCAAGCACAACAACTTCTCTAGCTTTGTTCGCCAGCTCAACACTTACGTGAGTCTCTCTCTCTCTCTCATGCTTCAAAATGGTTTTCAGCAAGAGCTCAATCTGACTCCAAATTCATTTTAAATGTAAACTTTGTCGTATAACAATTGAATTTGGATCACTAAATTAATTTTTATGATAAGTTTCTTCGTACAAATTACGAGAACGCTTAAGTCTATAGTAACTTTGAAAGTTATCCATATGGCTAGTATGCATTTTAAAAGATTTTCTTAGTGTTTTTTGGAGTTCGGTTTTTTCACTATGAGGATTTTCATTGATTGATTTTTGATTTTCTAATTTCTCTCTGTATTTTATGGTAATGTTGGTTTATTTGTTTGATGGTATAAAGTATGACATTTCAAGCTTATACTTCCCAGCAGTGAGTTATGAATCACGTGAACAATTAGATCTTTGTTTTTTTTTTTTTTTTTTTGCTTTCCCACCCACAGTTTTAAATAGGGAAAATTATCATTTAGGAGAGATTTTCAAAAATTATTACAAATTAATGAAAAAAATTATGATTGTAATTATTATAATATTTATCAATTTCTTGTAATTTCATTTTTAAACCCTCTCATATGTAATTCTCTCTTTTAAATATCAGTTGATATATATATATTGATGTTTTTACTTTTCCATATGTAGTATGCGGGTAGAAATGAAAATTACATGTATCTCAGTTAATTCTTTATATGTGTCAATTTATATCCAATTCACGATTTAATTCACAATTTATACAATTGATTTAACAGCTACAAAAAAAGTTTAATGGATAATAATTTTTTTAAAATTTACCATAGTTCTAAATATCGGCCGATACGCTACGTATCGACCGATACGTATCGGAAAAATGGAGTGCCGCGACGGATACAGGCCGATATACCACTGAGATTAAAAATCGCAGGAGTATCGGCCGAGTCCCGGTACGTATCGGCCTGTAAGCGTTACACAAGCCGTTACACAAGCCGCGACGGGCCGATACTCACCGGTTCGGACCGGTACGGGAAAGAAAAAGTTGAAAAACCTTTGAAATGATTTTTAAAATTTCACCACCGCGACACCCGATTCCCGATACGTACCGATCGATACTACCGATATCGATACTCCGCGATCGATACCGTTACGTTACCCGATACCGCGATTTAGAACCTTGAAATTTACAATCTCATTAATCATTTCCCAATACGTAGAGCACATTGATTTTACAATCTCGTTAATCCTTGTTGTTGCTTGCTATTTTCTCCCATGAATTGACAATATATATAACGCTTGATGTTCTCATTACCATTACACAAAAATCACTATTTAAAATCTCGTTCACACCAAAACCGATTTTACCAACCCAATCAATTTAATGTTTATTAAAAGAGTAATATTTGGGATTATGAAAAACAACAATGCTAGGTATCATGAAAAGTCTTTCATGAAAATAATCATGAAAGATTTGTGACATTTGGATTACACTTACAATAAAGCACCACACATTAATCAAGATAATCTAAGGGTCACAAATTTTTCATGGTCATTTTCATGAAAAAAATTTCATGATCCCTAACATTTCTCTTATGAAAAAATATCATGAAGATGATCAAGAAATATTCTCTACTTTTAAATTATACATATAATAAAATACCATATACTAATTAGATAATGAAAAATCTTCATAATGCTTGGAAATAAACTATGGGAACTTCCATGATCACTTTAGTAAGGGTAGGCATATCAATATTTTCATTAGACAGAAGAACAGGACTTCATATATATGCTTCTTCTTTTTTGCTGATCAAAATATATATATATATATATATGTATGTATATGCTTCTTCTTTCTTCTTCTTCTTCTTTCTTTTCAATTTTATGTCAATTATTGCAGGGTTTTAAGAAGATAATGGCAGATAGATGGGAATTTGCAAATGAGTGCTTCAGAAAAGGAGCAAAACACTTGTTATCAGAGATACACAGAAGAAAAACTTCTCAACAACACCATCACCAACAACACTACCACCACCATGAGCAACAACCACCAGCTCCTCAGTTTTTCCAACCAGATGACAATGGTATAAACTGGATTGATTCCCCATTACCATCCCCAAAACCTGGTTTAGACATCCTAACAGAGCTCGCAGAAGATAATCAGCGGCTGCGAAGAAGGAACTACATGCTTATATCAGAACTCACCCACATGAAGAACCTTTACAGTGACATTGTCTACTTCATTCAAAACCATGTTAAGCCAGTACAGAACAGTGATCAAACATCCATTGATGCAGTTCCGAAGCTTGTTGAATTGGGCACTTTGCATCATCAGACTCAATCTCTTTCCAATTGCCAAACCATGAAAAACTACAGTTCGTGTGATGGCTCCGAAACAAATGGTACTGTAAAGCTATTTGGGGTCCCTCTTTGTGGGTCTCAATAGCGGTTCAAAGAGTTTTTGAGAGCTTAGACTAAATGTTAAACGAGAACTTATTTTAGAGTTTGGTGGTTTTGCATGAATTATTGTTGGGGAGTAGAAGACAAGTTATGCAGATATGGGCTGAGGTTCAATGAAAGTAGAGCTATAAGGAGAGTGATTCAAGATCATCCTAAACGCTCAAGAAAATTTTCTATTGAATATTTCCATTAAAATTTCAAAAAAATTCAAATTTTTAGATTCTACTCGAATAGCTAGGCAGATTAGAAAACTATATATCTATCTATCTATCTATCTATCTATACTATTATAAAGTGAACACCTCTTATGGTATCCTGAAACTTTACTCTCCTCATGCCATGTGGCAGTATTTTTTATTTTTAAAAAAAAAGTTAAACAAAGAGATGGGCAAGGCTTGAACCCATCACCATAGATTTAAGTACGAGGACTCATACCACTTAAGCTAAGTACACATTATAATATTAATTTCATTATTATTTTTTTTTATTCCTACTTATTTAAATTGCACACACATCGTGTGTGCCACCCACTAGTATATATATAAATGTTAAACGAGAAATTATTTTAGAGTTTGGTGGTTTTGCATGAATTATTGTTGGGGAGTAGAAGACAAGTTATGCAGATATGGGCTGAGGTTCAATGAAAGTAGAGCTATGACCCTCTCTCTCTCTCTCCATTCCGTCTTCCCCTCTACTATTGATATGTTGTAAAAGCGGAGGAAGATCACGTGTAAATATATAATACTAATGATATGTTGTAATTTACCTGTCATCTCCTTGTAATTAAAGTCATATATTCATGTAGCCCCCTACTATTAGTTAGAGAAACAATCAATATAAAAGTTTTGAGAGGCAGAATAATTATTCCTAGTTGATGATAAGTTAAACAAAGAGATGGGCAAGGCTTGAACCCATACCACTTAAGCTAAGTACAAATTATAATATTAATTTCATTATTATTTTTTTTTATTCTTACTTATTTAAATTGCCCACACACGTGTGTGCCACCCACTAGTATATATATATACATATATAACGGAAAAAAAGTCTACTAAATACCAAAAACAAAAACAAAAACAAAAACAAAGAATTGTTTTTTTGGCTTTCTTCTTCTTTTTTTTTTTTTTTCCTTCTTCTTTGATGAACTTTTCTGAACTTTTTATTTTTTATTTAAAAAAGTCTACTAAATACCAAAAACAAAAACAAAAAATTGTTTTTTAGCTTTCTTCTTCTTCTTTTTTTTTTTTTTTTCCTTCTTCTTTGATGAACTTTTCTGAACTTTTTATTTTTTATTTTTTACTTTTTAGATCTTTCTATATAAATGGATTAAAAACGCAAAATATTTTTAACACAAATTTGACCAAAAAAAAAAAATTTATTGAAGCCACAAAGAAAATTTAAAAAAATATGACCTTTTAAGTTTGATACCAAACTCACACTAAAGTCTCGTTTAGGAATAGACTATTTTAATAGTAACTTTTGGTTTTTTGGTTGAAATTTAAAGTAAAAAAATTAGTATGTTTGAAATAATTTTTTAATTTTTTACGAAAAAACATACTAAAAATAGAAAAAAAATGAAATCTTTGACATTTTAGTATAAGTTACTGATTTTTTAATTTTTTTTAATAATTTTTTAATTTTTAAACTAAAATAATAAGTTGCCAAATAAGGCCAAACTCTATTCATACATAAAATTTTACAAGGATAATGAAAGAGTCCCACCATCTTAAAGTACTTCTCATGACTGACCTCATTTATTTGCATAGTGAAAATCAAACGCTCTGTTTAGTTTTAGTTTTTTTTTTTTTTATCGGCAAAAAAAAGTTTTTATTGATGAAATATAAGAAGAATTACATCAATAAAGAAGAGCTTGGAGCTTAAACAAGTTCCAACCTCCAAGTTGGTGAGAAACCAACAGAGCAAAAAACCAGAAAATCAGCTGAGGGAAATTGCAGTCCAAAGCAACCCGAAATCCATACGCAAACATCTGGTGGAAAGTAAAGAACCAGTACTCCAGCTAAGGGAAATTGCAGTCCAAAGCAACCCTGAACTCCAAAAGCAGACATCTGAGCTTGAGGCTCCAATCCACAGTACCACAGTTGAGAAACTAGACCAATCCCCATACAAACCATCGCAAACCATCAGTCTTGATGTTTGCTTTCAACCAGAGAAGAAACCAACACAGATCAGTCATTCTGCAAACTACACTCCAACCAGAGAAGAAACCTGCATTAACCTGCATTGCCTTTGAACAACACTCCTTGAATTCCCATGAGCAATACTGCAGCCCTATAGTCATTCTGCAAACTCAGAAAAAACCAGTGGTAGAGTATGCTAGAGCTGACACTGAAGACAGAGAGTGCTGGAGCTAACACTAAACAAAACAGTGGTAGATTTCTTTTAAACTGAATAACATAGCCTGGTTTGTCTCCAATTGAGAGCCACCTCCTCAACTGTAAAAGGGAAATCCTTTATAGAAGCTTTAAGCCAAAGAGCCAATCTGATCTTGATAAGTTCCCATAGTTCTGCAGAATTAGGATGAGCATCTCTAAAAACACACTTATTCCTAAGCCTCCAGAGGGACCACAATACAACCAGTGGGATTGCTCCCCAGAATTTCCTGAGAGGGTGTTTGAGCTTAATCCCCATCCACCAGTTAAACAGAGCTTCTACAGACTGAGGGATACACTAACAGAGCCCCCACTCAAATAGCACAGATGACCAAATGATCCAAGAGAAATGACAATGAAGCAACACATGGGAAATAGATTCAGGGGCCACTTTGCATAGAGGACAAAGAGGAGAAACATTGCTGCCTAGAATACCTATATCGAGCAGAAACATCGCTGTTTTTCCAAGCTAACCAACCAAAAAAACTAACTTTGGGAGGTAAGGTATTGCTCCAGATGAATTTGCTAATTTTGAGGGGAGGCCCAAGGAGAGAAATACAGAGAGAATATAGGAAAGACACAAAGAAAACACAAGAACCTGGTGCAGAGACAAAGAGGAGAAACATTGCTGCCTAGGATACCTATATCGAGCAGAAACATCGTTGTTTTTCCAAGCTAACCAACCAAAAAAACTAACTTTGGGAGGTAAGGTATTGCTCCAGATGAATTTGCTAATTTTGAGGGGAGGCCCAAGGAGAGAAATACAGAGAGAATATAGGAAAGACACAAAGAAAACACAAGAACCTGGTGCAGACCAAACCAGGCTGTCAGCACTGTTGAGGCACAAGGGAGGGCAGAAGATAACATTGTAATCAACCTAGCTTCACTGGTCTCTTCCCAAGTATACAAGATTCTTCTATATGGAAAGTTCCAAACTGAAGTGCTGGTTTTCCTGGCATAGAATTGTTGAGGAGAACCATTCTTATCAACAAACAGGTTGAAGAGAGAGAGGAACTCATCCTTAAGATAGGTAGATCCACACCACTTGTCATGCCAAAATCTGATACGACTACCATTCCCAACCTTGATTTGGCAGTTATCCAGGAAGAATTGGAACATATGAGAACTATGGAGTCCTATACAAGTGATATCCTTCCATACCCTAGAGAACTTATAGGAGGGTTGCACAGGAGGATGCCAACACTGAACCTCAATTTTATACTTGCTGCAAATAACTTGCCTCCATAAAGCTGAGATTTGATTTCCAAATTTCCACCACCATTTTAGAAGCAAACATGCATTAACATCCCTGATCCTTCTGATGGCCAAACCCCCTTGGGCAACACTCTTTGAAACCTCCATCCATTTTACCAGATGAACTTTTCTTTTTAGCCATCACCACCCCACAAGAAAGAAGCCTCAATCTTTTCAATTTCACGGGCCACTCCTTCGGGCATCTTGAAGAGGGAAAGATAGTACACCGGGAGACTAGAAAGTACAGACTTGATCAAGGTTAACCTCCTAGCAAAGGACAGCATTTTCCTCTTCCAACCTGAAAGCCTAGATCTAATATTATCAAGCACAGGTTTCCAGGTTGATTTTCTACCTGGGTTTGCTCCTAAAGGTAGCCCCAAAAATTTTCAGTGGCAAGCTTTGCACCTGACAGTTCAAGAGACTGGCAATTTCATTTAGACACTCATCATTCAACCCTAAACCACACACAACACTCTTGTGATAATTTATTCTAAGCCTCGAGAGGACTTCAAAGCATCGGAGGAGTCTTTTGACAATCACCACCTGGTCCAAATTAGCCTTGCAGAAGAAAATTGAGTTATCAGCAAATTGAAGGTGAGATAAAAGAAAATTGAGTCATCAGCAAATTGAGTCATCACACAACACTCTTGTGATAGTTTTAGTTTTTAACATTTATTTTTCAGAAAATTTTAGTTTTTCGTTTTTTTTTTTTAATTTTTAGACACACCTAACATAAATACACTTAAAAAGTATAATATTTATGAAAAAATATTTTAAAAATTCATTAAATATCAAAAGTACAAAAAAAAATAAAAATTTAATATATTTTTGTATTTTTGTGTTTTTATTAATTTTTTAAAATATTTTTTCTCAAATATTTTACTATTTAGATACATCTAAGTAAAGTGCATTTAAAAAAATAAAAAAATAATTTTTTTAAAAAAATTTTAAAAATATTAACTAACAACAAAAAAATAAGAAAAATAAAAAAACTCAAATTGAATTCAAAAAACTAAAACTAAACACTGAAGAGTATTTTGAAACAAAAAATTACAGTTGCATAAAATCACTGGTTAACTTTTGGTCCGTAAATTATGTTTTTTGTATTATTTTAGTACCAAATATTTCCATTATATCAATTTATAAAGTTATTTTTTATTTTTTAATTTGTTCACGTGTAATATTTTGTTCTACAAATACTCCTATTTTACAATGAATATTGATGGCGTTAGTCGTGGGAACTACTTTAAGACACATTAAACATTTTAGAAACAAAATCGATATAATTAAAATGTTGGGATTTCTTCAAATGGTTGGATACATTCTCCCTTTCACCCCAAGTTAATGAGTGTTTGGGGTTAGCTCTTTTTGTGACTTTTTTGTTTAATTTTTTTTTAA